AGACTGCTAGTGAGGCTTTGGCGCCATGGGCCAAGATAGTCTCCAGCTTCTAGTCCTTGCTTAGCGTGAAGGTGGCACGGCCAACGCTCTGGCTCGCTGGAAAAAAGCAACATGCATGCAATCTCTTTGGAGGCAATAGCTGAAAAGAACTAGAATAAAGCAGGTCGAATGACCACTGCACAAGCCTGTGGCTTTGAAACGGAAGTATGGCGACACGACAGCCAATCGTGTGTATCTTACAGACATGCCCTGAAAAAGGGATACATACACTCTAGAGTAACTACGAGGTAGGACTACACATCGCCTAAGAAGATGGGCTAGATATTCGCTAATTTCTACAACAACGAGCGTATAGTCATTCTTTTCACTTGGGGTTCTCCTGGCGTGGCAGTCGTTCAACAAATCAATTCGCATTACTTCGTAATTAGTGGCGATAGGTAGTACATTAGATTAGAATCGCAACCTACTAATTACACTCATCCAGATCAAGAGCTCTTACGTGCTATTTTTCTATGGTTATCCTTTTGTTTTTTTTTCCCCTCTTCGATCAAGAGATGGAAATGATCGACGAACGAGCCATATTTAGATCAGGTCCGAGATAGATACCATCGAAGCTCTGACTCCCAGAGATGTGATGGAGGGATCGCACAGACGAACAGGAGGCGAAAAGAGATGCACCGCCACATCTGGCTGGAGACCCAAGGGTCCAAATTGATGCGAATGAGATAACAGTGCCTGCTCTAGCTCATCTCAGCAGGTCTTTGCAGTCGGGCTAGATCAGGAGAAAGGCACGATAGTGTATGTACTGTGTCGCATGAGCCACAATAAGTCCCAAGTAATCCAGAGCATGCAGGAACGGCGATGGGGGGTCTGCCATCTCGCTAACACAACCGGACTGGATTCATTGGTGGTATCACTTAGGGCACAGGAGAGGACATGCGATGGCAACAGCATGTTCAAGCGAGCCATTTCCATGCGGCGGTGTGCTCCATCTGTGATGCGTTGTTCAGACGAGGCGGGAAAAGCAATGTTGACGGGCAACGTACGCGATGATCGCCAGATGTACATGCGTACATGCACGGTCAACATATTGTTGTAAGAGTGAGAGAAACACAACATAGCACATGTCAAATATCCTCACGACGTCTGGTCTGATATCACTTCGGGAGAAAAGCGTGGTATTCGGGGCTACCATGCCGTTTCGCCTTCACTTTCCGGCGCGAATTTTCAAGGGGAGCTGGCGCGGTTTTCGATTGCTGACTTCACTGGGAAACGAAGGGGGGTTGAGGCAGATCTTCGGTTTGCTGCAAGACAACAGTTACCGATGAAGGGCTCGGTAGTTAGGTAGTTAGGATATGCGTCTTGTACATGCGTTCCTTGCCTTACACTACCTAGGTAGATGGCAGAGCGCTTTGACAAGACGGCTGAAAGGCCCAGAAGTGGAAGTGAAGGCGTGTGCCTCGATCGTATCCTGCCTGAAATCCGTGATTAGGACACACCACTCTCAAGTCACTCTTCTACAATTGTATGTCTTGCCATCCATCCGTCGTGCGAAACGAAACAAATCTTACTCTTACACTACTCTACTCTACCCTGGCATGGCATGGCATGGCATGGCATGGTGTACAGTACAACACCGTACTGGGGGTCAGATGGAGTGCGGAGATGGAGAGAGCGTGAACTTCTTCAGTAGAGGGGTCGGGACGTGGGAGAGGAGGCGTCGTAGCCAATGTGCGTTGACCGACCTTATGCCACGATTAGCACTGTACGGTCAAGTCCTCCCCCCCTTCTGCCAGACTGCCCCGTCTACAAGGAGGCTAATAGGATGGCCTCAATGTATCGAAGCTTTCTAGATACGCATGTATTGCCGGAAAACATGTGGGCTAAGAAGTATATTTCACTGGAGATACATGAATGATCCCTGCTTCTGAGGTATCATTTTGCAAAGCAGCCACAACTGGCCTCCGCCATGACGTGACGGCCGGGCGACCTACTCGCCAGTGGGGAACTCGACATGTTCCTTCTAACAATTTTTCCATCCCTTCATTAATCTGGAGCCTTACAATAGCGCGTGGCGTTGAGCCGGAAATCTCTTGGACCCTGCTCCCTGTCACGTCCGTCCAAGGGCTGGCTGCCTTTCCTACCTGACCCAGTGGGGCAATACCTTCTCGCAAACGCAAAGCTTCTAGAGAGCTCTCCAGCCACGTCTGTCCTGCACCAGCCCAGACGCTAATTTGTTCATGTGGACATCGCCGTCGAGCATGGTGAGCTCGGGCATGGCGCGAGAGAAGTGCTCGCGGACCATCGTGTGCTATAGTGTAGTGAAGCAAAGCCTAACGAGATAGACGGTGCTAACAGAGGCAGTGCCAGGACGGTAAGAGCCGAGATGCTCGCTGTAAGTGAAGAGTCCAGCACTGGAGCTGGTGCCAGGCAAGCTCGCAGGGTACAATGCATACTTCCCCCCTGGAAGCTAGGTAGGTACGGTGACTTACTGCATGCGTCTTCGGACCAGGATACTATGGGACGGGTCCCTCGGCCCCAGTAGTGCATTTGGACCGCCGCCTGTTCCCACACCGATTAATTGACGGACGTAAGAGTAGGGTAAGGCCAGGGACAAGACCGTCGGTACCTCATCTGTTCTGGGGCCGTTCTGGGGGGCGTCCCTCCCTCGAGCCGGCGTTCTGATACTTCAGCGGCATGTACTTTGTCTATGAGTACCGCAGTTTAACTGCTACCTCATGCAGTCGTAGTATTAGTGGACATTCCGTCCTCCCCGACGAACACGGCTCACTTGGAGTAAGCCGTTGGTGCTGCGCATCAAGAATTGCACATGGCGGCGCTAGGTTTGCCTCGGAGGTCAGGGCAGGGGCGCAAGAAGCTTGTCAAGAGAGGAGAGAGAGACGAACGTGAAGATGAACGGGAAAATGGTGCGAAAGACCACCCAGTGTGTATACCGGTTGGGCCTGGAAGACTACCGACCTACCAGGTAGGTAGGCATGCACGAGAGTACGGAAAAGTGAAGTACTGTATCTACCTCATTCGCAATTGGGGGGACGAGACATCCCCAAGGGGAGAGAGGCATCGCATCCTGTCAAAGACGCTACGAAGGCGGTAGGCAAAGGTAAGCCAGGTACGCAAGTAAAGTACCTACTGCACAGTACACCTGGCCAGCGAGGCACGCACTTCATACATCCGCCTCCACGCTGGTGCCGTTGCTGGCGGCGGCGCTGGTCTCTGCTGCGCTGCTAGTCTAGATGCTGGCGCTGCCGCCGGGTGGTGTTGTTCCCACGCCTCATCCACACTCTTCACCCCTCCCCCCCTGTGGGCGAGACACCCCCATATACCTCGTCCATCCCCGTCCATCCTGGCTCCTTCTGGGCAATACCACTCCCCATGTATCTACCTGCTGGCTGCTGGACTTCGATCCAAAGTCAGTCCCCGTCCTGGTCTCCAAATTCGTTACTACCTCTCTACCTTACGTGACCTCACTCACCCCCCAGCCTCGAAGAGAAGTGAAGAGACGAGACGATACCGACCTTGAGCACACTCCATCTATATCCGTCCAAAGTACCCACGGGGCCTGCCTCTGCTCTTGCTCCCACTGTTATTGCAGTCTTATATACATTAGGGTTGCTCATGCCCTTCTCCCAGATCAGCCTCTCCTCTTATATATATCTTTTTTCAATTCTTCTTTAATCTTGAAGTCGTTTACCGCCTCCCGCCCTTCCTTCTCTGACACTCGCGCACTGCACACCCATTCACACAACCTCACTCCGCCTTTGCCTGACCACCGTCTTTCGCTACTAGGCCTGTCTCTCGTTATTCACATCCCAGATCTGACCTCGAAGCACCTGTCCATCGAGGCCGTATCACCTCTGCCGGATCCGTACGCACAGTGCAGCAAAGAGACTCTTGTCTCATGAAGTATCTGGGTCCCCAGCAGTCCTCCCCACCATAAGCCCGACGATCACAGTCGACAGCCTCGACAATTTGTCGCAGACAGCCACCCCCAAGACAGGCAACTCAAGCCACTTGACGAGGGGACTCGGACTCTGGTCGGCGGACGACCTTTTCCAACTTCTGAACTTCCATTCGGCTCGCTGTCCCGAGACAGCGCAAGGAGAACATCCTTCCAGATGTTTCGTCAAAGGTTCGTTCTCTAGCAACCCAACAAGCACGCAATGCCTGCCGTCAGCAGTCAAGCCACAGCCAGGCGCCAGGGTGCCGCATCGCGAGAGAGTAGGAGATATGCGCCAGAGACGCTTGGGACTGCTCACGGCGTTGCACCGTGATTCCCGCATTCATTACGACTATCTACTAACCTATTTCACGGTTTAGGACGAGCTCGCAAAAGCCTGGGGACGAGCTCCTCGCCAACTTCAGACAGCAATTTCCTGAACTAGGTGTTGGGCAGGGTACATCAGCCGCCGTCCCTCCAGCTCAAACAACCACAGCAGATAACGCTGTCATTCCCGTCACAGCACAGGAAAGGTATGTCTGTTATTTGACTCTTTGCCGCATCCGCCCTCATCGGTCCTCTGTTTGTTCTCTTGCTCCGTTTCTTGCATCGTGGTCCCACCACCCAGGCGGAATTCCCCAAATCTCACCACGAGCGCAACCACGCGCGGGGTACAGCAGTCGCTCTTTCCTCCCTCTTTTGCCATGCCACGAGCTTATGGCTCGATTTTGAGAAATCGAGCCATAACAGAGTTCCATTGACTAGATCGCACGACTGACATATTCCATTTTCAAGAAGTCATAGCTTAAGCCATGAGGCCTTTCGGGACCAAGATCCCACTCCCCGGGCGACAAATGAGCCATGGCGGTTCACGCCCTCTCTGATGGACCCGAACTCCTTCTCTTTCACCACTTTCGCCAATCAACCTCCTGGATACTATACCCCTACACCAGGAGGCACCAACACCCTGTATCACCCACAGGCAGGAGACCTGCACACACCAACTCTCAGCTTCGGCATGGGCCTGGGAACTCCGCTGTCAATGCCAACCTCAGAGGCGGCCTTGCACTCTGGTCCGGCAATGATGGATCTGGCCGGCTTCCACCAAGGCGGTATCCATCCACACCAATTCCACCCGTTCAATCCCTTTGTCCAGCCGCCGGCTCCTCAGCCCTCTTTTGCCCCGTCAACGTTTGTGCACCAAGACACCGGTTATGAGACCATGGACCAGGACGGGTCCCCCATGGATTCTGATCCTGCTGAAGAACGCATGGGCTCCATCGACAGCACTTTCCAGGGTCAGTCACCTATGATGGGATTTCAACCGAGGCAATACGGCATGTCGTTGCCCATGACAATGCACCCATCAGGCGAGAAGTTCCGCTTCCATGCCACGCTCAACGCGCCAACGGCCATGATCAAGCATGCCGATGAAATTCCAGTCACATATTTGAACAAGGGCCAGGCATACTCTCTATCTATCGTTGATACAACGCCCACACTTCCTATTGCACCTGGCACTCGCTTCCGTACATTTGTTCGCATATCCTTCGAAGACGAGCAACAGCGACAAAAGCCTGGTGTCTGCTGGAGCCTCTGGAAGGAAGGTCGAGGAACCAACGAGGCACATCAAAGAGGAGGGAAGTTACAGGCTGTCGAATACGTGGAAGCGGGTCAACCAGCCGAGGGCGACGATAAAAGGACAAGGATTGATCTCGAAAGCGCTTCTTTCGACGGTTTCTCAGTCTTGTGGACGCCAGGCATCAACGGCGCCGTAGAATGCAACATTGCTGTTCGCTTCAACTTCTTGTCGACAGACTTCAGTCACTCCAAAGGTGTCAAAGGCATCCCGGTTCGACTATGTGCAAAGACGAGCTCTCTAGCGCCCGACTCACCGCAGCCCGTTGAAGCGACTCAGGAGATCTGCTACTGTAAAGTCAAGCTGTTCCGCGACCATGGTGCTGAGCGAAAGTTATCGAACGACGTGGCACATGTGAAGAAGACAATCGACAAGCTAAAGCAACAAATTGCCCAGGCTGAGAGTGGCATGAAGGATTTTGGCAAGCGAAAGCGAGCCGGTGGCTCCCAAATCAAAGGTCAGGACACCCAGCGACCTGGAAAGGTTCAAAAACACAAGCGTACTTGGTCGATGTCATCTACAAGCTCTGCAGGCGGTGGGAGACTTCCACTTGAGGAAGACCTTCACTTCAAATTACAGACTCTCCAAGACATGTTTACAAGCACGCGACCGGTTAGTGTCTTATACTTGCGCGGCGACGAGCTTGACGACCCAGACTCGCATCCTGTGAGTCTTCCAGGGGAGCCCCTTGATCTCACCAAAGTCGAATCCCGAGATAGCTCGGCCTGGAGGGAACGCAGCGGCCGCGAATCGGTAGCAGGATCTTCTCTTGTCTCCCCCTCGCCGAGTTCGTTGTCACTACACTCTTCTGTGTCCGTCAGTGGGGCCAACGCTCAATGGCAAGAGTTCCAAGGTGTTGGATCGGCTGAGCCCTCCTCCGCCAGGCAGGGTTCAGATCAGCCAACCAAAGTTCCAAAGGCAGATGACGCAGGGAATCTCAGTGGTTGGATCGAAGCACTTGGAGTTGACGCCTCGTACAGGCCACCCACCGAACGCACTTCCAAAGCTGTTGCTTGTTTCTATATTGCACGGAAAGATGGAGGACAAGCAGGAGCTAGGGAGCTACACAAAGCTGTATACTTGACACAACGGACACTTCAGGACTTTAATGCACGAATTGCGGCGAAATGGAATCTTGATCCGAGCCGAGTACTCCGGACGATACATGTCCTCCAGCGCGGGCTCGAGGTTGAGATGGATGACGATGTCATCCGAGAGCTTTCGGAAGGTCTAGATATGATTCTCGAAATAACAGAGGTCGGCGCATCTGCTTCACCATCGAAACGAGAATGGGAAATGGCAGTTGATGCCCCTGGGGAGAATGAAGAGCCTACGACACATGCAGCGTTGCAAGGCGGCTATGAATTTCGACTTACATTTTAATTTCAACATGATCCTTCTCGGAATTGGCAAACATCGGCTTCAACGGCAACTTAGACTCGGGGATAATGTATTTTTTTTTCTTCCAGGCTGAATCTCTCACCAGATCGGCATTACGAACACGACAACATGGTTGGGACACTATAATCTGATTTATCTGAGGGGCGTTCACGCACACATATTGAGATACCAAGTCCCTCGATGGGCACCCTTACTCTACTTCTCGGTCCGCTGTTGAGGGTCCACATCGGTTTTAGAAAGGCACATCATTCAGCGGAAGACACGATTTTTTTTTGGAATTTGCATTCTCGCTACCATTTAGTTGACGTGTCTTGAACACACTCGTCGTCACCTTTGGAAATGGATCTGGGAGGGGATCGTGGAAAAGCGTCACGAAACACATCAGACAAGGGGCACATTTATCGAGGGGAGATTATTGCGTCGATGACACCTATTCCAGCCCTCTACACATGGGGTGCTTCTTTTGTCAAAATTTCTCTGCGCCATATTTGGCATCATACTACTTGAAAATCCCATGACAGCCATCCCTTGATACATCCCATGTCATCTTCACTGTGGTCCCATTCCGTTATATTACATTACATTACGCATCCTCTTCCGCAACGAGATTCATGCCTGATAGAGTTACGACCTCGCACAGTGAAGGGGGGGGAAAATATGATTACCATCTTGCAGAATGCCTATTCCAGAGCCAGATCCACTGCCCAAGCGAACCACAAATCTCACGAGTCTGGTCCCTTCTGTCAGCCGGGGGTTTCAGCACTGGCGACCGGTCGCTTACCAGGGGTGACGGGGGGTTTTGCCGTTTCACGCATGCTCGTGACAACGACCCCAGATCTACAAGGATGCACTACGTGGAAGATGCAGAAAGCCCACTAGACTTCGTGCTTGAGCGAGATCACAAGCTGTTGGTCGAAGTCACGATGGGAGACGGTGATTGGGGGACGGTCTGCGCAGAGCTAATTTCGCCTGCGACGACGCTCATTTCACAATTCGGTGTATTTTTTTTACTCCTGCTGGTTGGCATGGTGCCAAAGGGAACGCTACGAAACATATGCTAACGTTAGCGGTAATTAACTAGTCGCACACGGGAAGTACTGAGCTGTATTGCTTCTGCACACCTACACAGCAGCAGTACGGCAGACAGTACGTGCAAGCCCGCGTGCGTGTAGGAGTACGGGAGCATTGAGTGCGCGCCATGGACGAGGAGGAGGGAGGAGGACGAGGCGGCGGCGGTGGTGGTGCGAATTAGCGCGCAGACGGCGGGGCAACTGGGCTGATTGCAGGCGCGCCTAGAACCCACCTGAGCTGTACGCCGTACCTAATGTACAATACTTGACTGGCATCGCTGTACCGAATCTCGCAAGGAGATATTGTATGTATGTGAACCAGGTGTATTTACTATATATGGTCTGGTACGATACCTGAGGCAGTTGCCGAACGTATCCTTTAATGTCTAATAAACGCAAGGATTGGAAACTGAAGAAATCGGCCGTTAACACCGACGTTTTGTCTTCTCGAGTCGACCATACTAGCACTGGCATGTGCTGCATGCAGATGATGATCCGAGCAATGGAACCTCCCGATGTGGCCATGGCGACACGCGATTGTGTGCTTTAGTAGGAGAAGCTATGTACTGTAATGTGTAGAGAGACGAGATGGCCTCCTGTCATTTGGCAAAGGACGGACCGTCACGAGCAATTGCAGGTACTTGGGTGTGCTGGCTGTGTCTTCTATCAGGCCTGTATGGCTTGTTGGGCCGGGATGTGAGCAGAGCAAAGTCAAGGTAGCAGCGGATCTTCTGTTGCCCCTTCAAACGAGTCAACAGTCCTTCCATTAAAAGTGCACTTGGGTGCGCTCCAGGAGGACCGCTACGCAGTAGATTGGAGTACCTTGAGGAGGTCTATGGATGGGTGAAGTGCGGTGTGGTGTAAATTACCTTACCTAGTTAGACACGCAATAGGTTTCAATAGAGCGTGACTTAACTCGACAATTTGCATTCCGCCATTCCTACCTTATAATTGAACAAAGTATCCCAGGTAGCTGCTGGGTATGTCGGTACTTTACGTTGGCTAACGGAGGTTCCCTGCCTGCCTTAGCATTACATTACGGCGGTTCTCACCTCTACCTAGGCAGTATGTAGGTTAGATTTACCTTAAGCGTGCGCTATCTTAATTCGCCGTTAGTCGCGGGCCTCCGTGTTTCAGCAACCCACATTTGGCAAAGACGGCACCGTTTGCTCAATCTTGCCCTCCAGGGATCCCGGGAGGCGCGTTTTGTTTCCTCATGCCCGTTGCTACCCAATTAAGCCATTGATTGATTGATTGACCGATCGATCGTTTTGGCTCTGTTTCCAGTGACCCAGTGTCCCAGTGTCCACTGCCCATCCGCCCTGTCACCGCAAAAGCCCCGGAGGGCAGCAGACAAGGTGACATGCTACCCAACCGGAGGTTTCTATCCGCGCCCCCGCGATGCGCATTGGGGGGATTTCCCGTCAAGACTCACGAAGCTGGTGCGTGGCCACTGGCAAGAAATTGACAGCCAAGGCCGAACTGACTTTGGCTCAATCGAGTCGCCCTGGGCCCCAATTCCAAACTCAGAGTGGGTGAGGAGGCGCTGAGGCGTTTCACCGAGTCTAATTAAACAACAACGGTGAACAAAACGGGCCTGACCACTCACCTGTTTCAATTCTAATATATGATCAAAGCCTTCCCGAGGCTGTATGGTAGGGGAGTTGACGGACTGTGCTGATTGACTTTAGCTGTTTCACGACGCCCGCCTAGAATTACCATCTTATCTCCATCCCTCTCTACTTGACTCTTGTCTCGGCCACGTCGTCGCCTCTTGCCGTGCCTTCCGTGTCTCTCGTTCTTCGGCGGCACAACTAAGCCTAAGACCTCGAACCACCTTGAGTTTGCTGGTGCAACGACGGACTGACGTTGGCTTTACACCATTGATGCGTCAAGCCACAGCGATCGACACCATACATGCCCTTCTGGGCCGCACCGTTTGTCTTGGCCTGTTGCACTAGCCACTTTAACGTGTGGCGAGTGTCTTGCGCGTCCGCCAGGTACATACATGTTCGACCTATTCTAGACCTATGCCTTTCTCTTCTACTTTCTCCTGCTTGGCTGCTTCCGTTTGATGGATGGCGATCTCTCCTGTAAAAGTCTTTCTCGGCTCAAATTTCTATGAGGAAGTCCTCGGGCACAGCCACAGGTCATCTAGCCCATGATATGCATCAAACTGTCCAGCTCTGCAGGGATTCCTCTCATCGTGCGTCAACCAGCGCTCTCTCGTGCTTGATCATGGCACCATGGTCCCAGTAGGACCAATTGGCCAGTCACCGACGGAGGGAGTTCCGTGTATCTCTCACTCAGGTCGATTGGTGAGTTGAACTCTGCGTTTCGGTTGATCGGTCAGCTGATGCAGCAACTCCGCCACCATGCACGATCATCCCAGGACCTCTAGGGTGCAGAGAGATGCTTCGGTACACGTCTGCGAGAGGCCCGGGTCTGCTCAGTCATCCCAATCACTTCTCTCTATTTCATCTTGGTGTCTTTAGCTCCTGGGCTTCTTGCCCGGGAGCAAGGGTCTGGCTCATTCCTCAACAAGTGTCGAGAGCATTGTCTACACTTGCTAGGAGGAACAGCGAGTACCAATGGTGTCATGTTCGTTCTCCTTTCACAAAAACATGGGGACAGGGACAGGACAGGCCAACGCGGGAGGCACGTCTCGGAAGGCGCGCGCCACCCGCGACCCCTTTTGACAGGACTTTGCGTAGCTGTCTGTTCCTTTTAGGCATTTTTGGGAGCAGTGTTCTCATGATGCAGCCACGATAAGAGCACGATTGATCCACAGGACTTCCCTGGGGCGGCTACCGAAGGGGAATTATTGCATCCGATGCACGTCTTTGGAGATAACAGTTCGACTGGCTGAGAACCTCCGGCTGCCCAACTCTCGGGGATTTGAAGACTATTGAGAGGGAAGTTTCCCCCCGCAGGTCGAGAAAAGGGGCAACGCTAACAAAGCATGGTCGTGATACCGGACCACACACCTCAATCTACCTACGTATGTCGACAAAATATCGATAACATCAAAAGAATTGCCGTTGCGGGAGACGCACATCTGGGAAGAAACAAGAGACTGGTGAAGTGCCACTGACTCACCTGTGCTCGACTGTTTCGAATGGACCCTTGATGTGCGCGACGCGTGACTGCTTGGCTGCGTAGCATTTCTGCATGTGGACGCAGGAATTGCCTTAGAGCCCGCCTGCAGCCAGTGTACCTCACAGCTGCATGTCGGCGTAACTGCGTCTGCAAGCACGACATACCCCAATTCCAGGCGGGGTGTGGTACTGGTACTAGCCAAAGTTTAGGGGGTATTAGCGGCCTCGCTCACTGCAAGACAGCAGTTGTGACAGTGGGGTGTAGGGGCTGTTTGGCTGGGGGGTGGGTGGAGGAGGTGCAGAGGTGCGAGTGCATTAGGAACCATGTGGTTGGATGCCGTGCGGGAGGCTTGACCTTCTTTACCGAGTCCCGCCTGCCCGGCTCCCTTGCCCGTTGACGTGACACGCAAGGATGGTTCCCGAAGAAGGAAACCGGCCGCCGATCATCTAAGACACCTCGGAAGGCTCATCTTCCAGAGATAGTGCGGTAGCCATCAGAGTCGAGTCGACGCATT